ACATTCCAGCTTTCTTCATCCTTTGAGGTCCCATGTGAGGATCTTCCTCCGGTGTGTATCCCGCACCTGAAATATTTTCCCATATAGGGTGAGCCACGCCTAGTAGAGTATTTCCTACAGAGGCTACTCCCCAACTTAAGTACATATGAAATGTTCATGCAACATTTAGCAAGCTACAACCGTTCCAATCAAGATCAAGCAAGTCTATGATGGAATCTAACACATCATGTCATGATATGAGATGACACTCACTCATGTAACTCTACCCAAGCCCTCTCTGACTCCTTTCACCCATGCAATGCTATGAGTAAAAAATCGGGCTCTCTAAACCCCCGTCATTGGCGTTACACACCCAATGACTATTTTAAATGAAAATCTCCGGGTCTTTCTTGGGGTGGGTATTTATAGACTTACATCAACGACACCCAACCGATCACTGGGTCTCTCACCCGAGGGATAGTCTAGTCCTTCTTGCTAACCCCGACCCAATTCTTTTTCCCATGCCATCGTGCGACTCAGTCGGATCTTCGATCCAGCTTTCCCGAGCCCACTCATCATCCACCTACGTGGTGCATAATGTCAACCATGCACCCTCACACCCACACTCATGTCATGGATGCGGTTCCTCTGTGCAAATGCAATGTAATGCACCATTGTTATATCAATGGCATCCCCATAAGTAATGAATGTCACATGAGCAAGTTTAACCACATATTTTCATATTCCATGGCCAATTATATCATATGCATATAATCACCAAACTTTATCACAATGTTAATATGTCAACATCTTATTTTCAACAATATATCTCAAGCATGTTATCACATAATATAAGCTAATAATACACTTCATTTACAAGGCATAATATAAACACATAGCATGCCCACATAATACCAAATTCCATAGAATTACACAAGTAATTTCCACATTTTAATACCCAGTTAGGAAATTTATTTCAAGTCATTTCAATACCCATTTTCAATACTCATTTCATCAATTTCACAAACATAGGTAAGTGTTAAGTCTCTAACAACCTACCTATCTCATATAACACCCTAGGTTAGAAAGTAAACCAAAGTATGAAGGAACCCTACCTCTTGAAGCGTAAAACAACATTGGGAAGCTTCAAGAATGTCATCCAAGCCCAAAATCTTGATTTTTCAAAATCCCATCCTTGGAATCTTCGGTGAAACCCGCCTTTTTTGGTGTGATCGCGTAACTCTCGACGCATAGAACAATCTTTGTTCTTGGGCCGAGCAGATTTGAGCACTCGATTCTTATTGATCGTAGAGAAAAGTGGAGAAACTCTCTCTTTTTCCTCTTTTCCTCTCTATCGGTTGAACAAATGATGAATAGGGGGAGATATTAGATTTTTCCCCCTATTTATACCCTTTATTTACTTGGCCCACAACGCGCCACACAACCCTCTTTTCCCGGGTCCGTTTTTGTTCCGAAATGATTAAATTTCGTCTCGGTTTTAGTTCAAAATATTTTTATTTTAACTTGCCTCAAATTATTTTTTAACTTTGAAAATTTTATTAAAAATCTCGTTTTTGGATCACCCGAGACTCAACCGCCTCGTAAAACGTGAAAATTTGACTATTTTGAAATTCGATGAAATTTAAAAGGGTAGCTAGATTTCGCAAGACGAATTCAACAATGAGGTCCGTTTTGTCATCCGAATTTTAAAAAAATTCAAGTTTTTAACCTTTACTGTAGCAACAAATTACCGTTTTGCCCATTTTGTGAAAAGTTCAAATTTACCTGGATTTTACAATTACTCTCAAATATTTCATGTGAATTTTGTATCTTCTAAAAACATGTTAACCTATTTAGTCAAGTTGAACCTTGTTTCAATTCATGATAGTGTTACATTTCATGTGTACTTTTAATTTGATAATTTCTAACCTTCTATGTGTAATAGAGCATTTGCAATACATTAGATCTTATTAAATGGTCAAGATTATTATTTCTTCTGAAGGAAGTTAATACTCCCAAAGAGACCAAAGAAAAATATACAATGGAAGTTGCAAGAAAAGTTGGCATCCCTGAAGAAGCCACACCCACAAAGTAGGCAATAGAAATATTGATCAGTTCAAAATAGTAAACTAAATCTCTTGAAGAGACATCTCCTAAAGAAAAAAAAGGTACCTAAAAATAATGAGATCTCAAGAAATTATGTACGTACAAAAAAAAATGAGACACTCTTCCCACCATTAGGGAAAGGAAATATGTCGCTTGAAGAACGACGTGAACTTTCTTACATGCCTGAAGCGCGATCGACACATGGGTTCAAAAGATTCAACTTCTGAAGGGCAACTACATACAACTTACGAAAAAGTTGTTGAAGTAGAAAATGAAAATGCACTCACATTATCACAAATAATAACCCCTAAACATGAAAGTCCCTGAAGAGACACAAACTCTTGAAGAGATATAGTCTATTAAGTATGCATACATAGATGAGGTGTGGAATTGTACAAAAATGATCATCAATGATATAGTAACTACTGAAATCTAAAATGGTGATGATCTTGAACCATGCACAATATATGATTGTCAACATAGAAATGATTGGTCAAAATAGAAGAAAGCAATTCACTTGAGCCTATACAAAATATTGGACCTGCAGTCCAATATACCTAAAGATATAAATATAGACCTATAGTTCTAAAATATAGTGGGTATTTATATTATATAAAAAAAATATGTGACATATAGTACATTTAGTGGCCCAAGAGTTCCTATAGAGACCCAAGATTCATTACAGAAAAATCTACTCACTAGTAATTGATGCAATTATATTCCGGTATTGTATTAGTCTAACAGTCTCAGAAGGAATCGATATGCATCTTTTGGATGTTGTCATTACATATTTATATAGAAAGTTAGATATTTATATTTATATGAAAGTCTCTGAAGGATTGCAATTGTCTAAAGCAAATACATAAAAACCATGAAACATGTACTCAATTAAGCTGAGAAGATTCTTATATAGATTGAAACAATTTGAAAGAATATAGTATAATCGTCTCAGTGAGTACTTGGTAAAGGAAGGGTATGTTAACAATCTCATATGCTCGTGTGTATTTATTAAGAAATTAGAATCTAGATTTGCTATTATTAGAGTAAATGTTGATGATATGAATCTAATTGGAACTCCTGAAGTGTTGAAAAAAGCTGCTAAATATTTGAAAAAGGAATTTGATACGAAAGATCTTGGAAAAATAAAGTATTATCTCGACTTGCAAATTGAGTATAAGTTCAATGGAATTTTTATTCATCAAACAACCAAATATCAAAAAGGTCCTTAACCGGTTTAACATGGATAAAGTATATCCGTTAAGTACTCCAACGTTCATCCAATCTGTTGATGTCAATAAGCTTCCCTTTTCATGCTAAGGAGGAAAATAAAATGTTTCTTGGTCCTGAAGTACCATACATAAGTACAATTGGTGTTTTGTTATACTTAACACAATATACTAGGCCTGATATAACATTTGCAGTCAATTTATTAGTAAAATTTAGTTCTACACCAACTTGACGACATTGGAATAACGTAATTCATGTCCTACACTATTTTCGTGGAACTACAAATTTTGGCTTGTTATACTCGAAGCAATCAGCCAATGGTCCATAGTTAATCAAATATGCAGCTTCTAGATACCTATCAAATCCCTACATGGCTCGTTCATAAAATTGGGTATGTTTACGCATGTGGTGATAACGATCTCATAGCGATCTACCAAGCAGACTTTAATTGCTACATTTTTTCAATCATTATGAGATTCTTACACACCATGAAACAAGTCGTTAATGTGTGTTGCTAAGGTCTGTAGTCCATCACATCCGAGATACTTGCAAGCTCCCTTTAATTACAGATTCACCAACCACCTTGTATGAAGATAATGCTACTTGCATTGCACAAATTAAAGGAGAATTTATTTAAGGTGATAAAACCAAACATATTTCGCAAAAATTCTTCTACACATGAACTCTAGCAAATTCAAGAAATTGAAGTAAAATAAATATGATACAGTGACAATCTTGCAGATCTATTCCCTAAAACTTTACCATCATCAACATTCAAGAAAATTGATATATGACATGGAATGTGTCGAGTTTGTGACCAGTCCAATTGATTTCTTATTAGAGGAGATTATCATCAAAAAGAGTATCCACATCAAGATACAAGACATATGCACGTTATAATGATCATTATGATTTGAGGTCTATAAAAGAAAATCTTCATCACATTGAAAAATACACAAGTTGAAAAGTTCTTTTTCTATATTCTCTATATTATTTTTGTAGTCTATAATTCTCTTACTTTTACAACAATTTTTTTACTTCTATGTAAGCAAAAATTTTAGGTGAGAAGCCAAAAGTTCCAACCCACAACCTTTGGTCTGAATTTTAACCACATAAAAAACATTGTTTTGGTTGTTTTAGATGTTTTCAGATTTTTACAAACAAATAAAAGATTATATAACTTGCTTGCTGCCTTTCCCTGGGCTTAGGCTACGCATGCCTACCCTGAGTTGAGTCAGGCCAAGCCTGGGCCACCACAATGTATTTTCACCAAGTGTGGCCCGCCCAAACCCTGCCCAGCCCATCCCATGCTCAATTACCAACATTTACAATCCCGAGAGAGAGAGAGGCGGGGGGCGAATTTACAACTGGTCCTTCAGTGCAAACAGAAGGCCTGAATTGATTTAAATATAGACCATGATACATATAAACTGGATCCGTTTCCCTCTCACTGTAAGAAACAAAGCAGGTTCATACCATACATCAATATCAACTGCAACAGGTACACATAGAGATGAATACACCATAGCCAGAACTCAACATCATACTCAGAGACATTAAATCACCCAGTTGACTGGACTCCAAGAATGGAGATCACATTATATAAGCTAGTGCTCAACCACATTATTCGTGAGGAACCATGCTACTTTTGCCAAAGGCAACTAACTAGTTCCACATAGAAGCCACTCCTACTTATGAGAGTCGTCTGCATTTCCAGATGCTGATGTGAAAGTCACTGGGCTGGCTGGATGATCCCTCACAACCAAACTAACTACTTCAGGTCTCGAATAATGCCCAACCACATCAAAATCGAACTTCGCTCGTGCTATTTCTCCAAGATCTATGCATAATCATCATCAATATAAGATTTCAAAGAATGATCACATGCTTAAAGGAATTTGTAGGCAATCTGCTCAAAAGAGAGAAGAAAGAAGACTCTTCATAAGATTTGGTAATCCTGCATAAGGACATCACAGTTTGGTCTTCAACGAAGTAATGAAACCCCGATAAAAGGACTACCGATATCCTTTGCCTAAAAGTGGTCCTCATAAATTTAGTTATAAAAGCCCAGAAAAACGAACTTCAATCACAATTTTAGAAATCATTTTCAACCTCCAGACTTAAGAAAAAGGGACTAGGGACAAAACCCCAAATTTCACAGCAGAAAATTGGACAATTCCGATGCAGTAAGTTACTCCCTGTTGGTAATCCCAAGACTTCCAAAAGTACAAATGAAACATGAATCTGACATTCTATACAACACGGCTGAAATAAGAATAAGATAACATTGAAACAACCTCATCTGACATGCCTGACAACTCTGTTCTCTTGCAAAGAAGATGCAGGAAGAACAAACTTCTGAAGTTAAAAAAAGATGGCTGGAGGACAAATCTGAAATCTTTAATTGCTCATGTGAGTAAAGAAACCATTTTCTGAAAGGACTAAAGCTATATTTTCTTGTTGTTAAAATATCAAAAAACACAAGAGATAACATAGTATAAACTGAACAGATATTTTATATACGATGTGAAGGAGTAAGAATAGCAGACACTAATTACCTAGATCAGCAGATATGAGTGCCTCCCCTTCATAATTGGGTCCAGCCAATACAGTCCCTGATGGTGAGATAATGACACTCCCACCAGCACAAACAACAGAATCCGGTGTGAGATCATCTTCTATGCCAAAAAACACATATTCTGGAGGAGGCGGGTAATCTCTCCTTCGACAGAACTGGTTGGCTGACAAAACAAAGCACCCACCCTCAAGAGCAATGTGGGTCATTGATGCTTGCCAAACATCCCTGGCGTCAGCTGTAGGTGCACAGTATATTTCAATGCCTGTACACGTACAAGAGTTTGACAAATTAAATCTAGACTTTAAAGATCGCAATGCTAAGGATTATAAGATCAGAAGAGAGTAGTAAGAATTCCAACAAGTGGAATCATAGCTCACAAACGCGCCCACTGATTGCTCGTTAAGAATTACATCAATCACATCCTCACCTAAATTGATGAAAAATCACTTCTTATCAAAAGCCAGATATCTTTGCTCAGCAATAAATAAAAACAACTCCATTTTAATGTCTCCAATTCTCTTTTAGATTCTCCATGCAAAATATGGGAAAACTCCAAAGTTCTGGAATGTAGCTTTAAGCAAGTGAGAAAATGGATGCTTAAAAGTCAGAGAATCACGCCATTTGAATGAATATTTTTAGGTGCATTTCGATTATTCAGATTCAGTACACTGCAAGTAGTATAAATTGAGCATGCCACTAAGTCAGTCATGCAATATAGATCATGAACTAGGGAAACCAGCATAAAGTGAACATGTCACGCAACAAGCCTTGCAAAACAGCACATGAACATGGGAATGATTGGGTCATAAGGACATACAAACAATCAAATCATGGAGTTCCAATGACTTCCACATAAGCGAAGGCACTTTAATTGACCTGAGCCCACAGGGCTAATTTAAGACTATCTGTGAAAAACGTGCCTCTGACCTAGCCTGAATTTTGACCCAGGTGACCTTGACAAGTAGGGGTGGGCTCCCAACTCCAACGGAGTCAAAAGGCCAACCTCCGAACTCTGACTCCAACTTTAGTCGGAGTCCATTTTTGCCTCTGACCACCTGTAACTCTACCTCCAACTCCAAATGTGGGAAGTGGAGCGGAGCTTCAAAATTGGCCCAAATTTGGACCAACTTTTATTGGCCTTTTTCATACTTTATTTTAACTTTTGCTAAAATTTGGGCTACTTTTTGTTGAAATAGGGCTACATTTCTTATTATATTTGGGCCACTTTTTGCTGAGATTCTGGGCCCGCAATACATTGATATGTATCATATCTTATGCTTTCAAAGAGTTTAGCTAGAAATATTTAGGCAGCTAAGCCAAAACGCTCGAATGGAACATCAAAATGAAGATTCAAAGAAATTCGCAAACCTCCCTTCCTGGATGGTCCTCTACCCACTGTTAGTGATATAATCTACGACTAATCATATAAATGATATATTTTTGAGTTGTACTAATAACATTCATTACTTAATTAAATAACAGGGCAAATTTATTTATCATGTTTCTATTTTATTTCATTTTAATATACATAGTATAGTCCATATACATAATATAGTCCATACTTTCTTAAGAAGTTGAGAAGAAGAGACTTATACTTCTTAGTACTTAACTCTTAAATGTTCCTACTTATAGGATTACTATGTAGGCACTATGTAATCCAGCCAGACTAGCATACACTATATTTGTTCATATTTGATATAAGGTGACTCTTTCAAGTCATTAGTGTAAGGACACTGAAGAAATGTGTGGGTGCTTGTTAGAGAACAAGTACGCTAAACATGACCATTAACTAACATAAGATTTTTTATATAGAGTTTTACATATCTATCAATGTTAAATCCTAAAATTACAATTATGCAACTGATCCTTAGACTTGAGACATCATGATTCATTTGTTTAGCGGAAGAATGGCAATAAATAATTTTTTTTTTAAATTTCCATGTGTCTAGTTAGCATGCAAAGAAAAATTATAGAAAAAATAATTTTCTTTCATGCTTGAATTTTCTCACAAATAACCAACTTCTTTTTCTTAAAATATTTTATTGGTTATTAATTTAAAAAAATTTTGGTATGAATTTGATTAATCATATAATTTGACCCAAAGACCTTTGTGTTGATGATTGTCTTAGAATTAGGTTTTAAGCCACTTTTTAAAAATAATTTAACTTTCAATTATAATTACATATTTTTTTCTTTTTTAGACCGATTTAATATAATAAGAATAATTTAGGCAATTATAAAAATTTTCTTATAACTTTACTTTCTTTTCAAATAATAGACTAAAATTTTTTTAAAACTTTTCCGTAATTTTTTCATTCTAACCAAATACATGCATGGAAACATATTTTCTATCAATTTCTTTTCTTTCACTTTACTTTCCATCATTTTTTCTTCCTAACCAAACCATGGTTCAAAGTCGCGGTATCGGTCACCAACTTGGAGGGCACTGAGACACATCGGTCGCGGTGTCTCGGCATGGTATCGGCCGATACGCTCAAAATGCTAGATAGAAAGCTCAAAAAAAATTGAAAAAATCTTGAAAAATCCTAAAAAATATAAACATCATCATTCATAAATTATATCCCCAAAATATGTTATTTAACACATTTAGAATAATCAAAAGAAATTACAAGGGCGCTATCGAAAATATTAGCAGTATGATCCCAACCAATGTCACTTTTTTTTTGGAGCCTTTCTAAAAAATTAAGAATCAAATATCACTATATTGTTTAAGCTTTCAATATATGCAACTATAATTATTTTGAACATACTAATAATTAATATTAAAAATTTTTAAAATAAAAACAACAATTTTAAACATACTAAATAGTAAATTAGATAAATACATTAGATCCCAATGCTACTAAATAATAAATTAATGTGAATACAAATATATCTTTTTTTACTTTTAAATTTTATGAAAATACAAACATTTTATCTATTTAGTATTGGTCTAATATTCTGATTACAAAATATTTTATCCATTAAACTAAATAATATAGGGAAATATAAATTAAAGAAGTAAAAGACAGAGAAAATAAAACAAATATATCTTGTGGTCTCCATTTGAGTTAACGAGAGAGAAAAAGAGAGAGAGAAGGGGGCGATCGAGATGCTCCAGCGATCGAGTTGCTCCAGTGATCGAGAGCTCGAACCTTATGATCCACAGATCGAGATGCTCTTGCGATCCAGAGCTCGAGCTCAAAAATATCACATGGAACTCGAAGCTTTGCTGCCTGCGATCGAGATGCTCCGCTGTCTGTGATCTAGGGTTTCAACGATGAGTATCTGCTGCAAAGAAGAAGTAGCTCTGTAAGACTGAGGACTGAGAAAAGTGATTATTTAGAGGATTTACGGGTATGTGTTGCTAATTTTCTCTGATCTATTTACATAATGAGAAAAAGTTATGATTCAGGGCTCAAAACAATTGGGGTAAAATTCTGCTACATTTTCCCTTTTGCCTTTTTTTTTTTGGCACACTCTGTTTTCTTGGTGTGGTCGAACGATTAACATCCAAATCGGTATGACTCGAATGAAAATTGGCCGAATCAACTGAGGTGTGACCGAGTCCTTTGATTTCGGCCGAGACGCACGAGGTATTGCCGATGTTAGTTCATTTTGAAATTTCTTCGACTCGCGTACCGTTATCGTATTGACAGTGGCCGAGTCGGATACAACTCGACCAATACCTAGAACCATGAACCAAATGGACTCTTTGGTTGTCTTGTGCATAGACTTCTATACTTTAACTATACAACATATTCATATACTAATCATGTAACTTAGATATGTATCATTGGACATAGTTAGACATGCATGCATGGAGATTTATGAGTGTACAACATGGAATATATTACTCTTAGTAAATAAAAGGAGAATGTCTTATGTGATCTTCTAAGATATGACTGAAGGAGTCATTGGCCAAGGCAGAATCACAATTAGAAAAAGAATAGATCTTGGAATTTTAGTTTGTATTAAACATGAATCGATCTTGGAATGAGGAATCAATTTTATTTTTTTTTAAATTCCGATGTGTTTAATATATGATTCCTATCAGTGGTTTCAAAGAAATTATTCATGATTTAATACAAATCGATGTGATTATTATTATGACATGTTAATGGGATTAACCGAGAAATATTAGGGATTGCATAACTCGCATAAATCATATTATTTTGTGAGGATTTTCTTCAAAATAAATTCTAATTTTTTTTGCATGTTTAATATGAGGTATTAATGGATCCACCTGTTTAAAATTATTTTAAAATCAGATTTTAAAATTGAAGAAAACTAGTAACAGTTTTTCTTAAAAACTAGATTTCATTCGTTTTGAGTTTGAGATTGAACCAAGGGTGAAACAAGTTAGATCTTTGGTCTAATGGTGGCTAAGATAAGGGTTTTTCATCCAACAATGGCTGACAGGTAGTCATGACTGCCTTCCATGGTAGACGACAAAGGTGGTCTACAAGTAGAACTTAAAAGACTAGTTCATAATGTTCTTATAAAGTTTTTCAAATCTTACTTT